ACCAACTAAGATCCAATACTATACCAGCCTCTAGCACTTCACTTGTCCACCAACTAAGATCCAATACTATACCAGCCTCTAGCACTTCACTTCTCCACCAACTAAGATCCAATACTATACCAGCCTCTAGCACTTCACTTGTCCACAAACTAAGATCCAATACTATACCAGCCTCTAGCACTTCACTTGTCAACCAACTAAGATCCAATACTATACCAGCCTCTAGCACTTCACTTGTCCACAAACTAAGATCCAATACTATACCAGCCTCTAGAACTTCACTTCTCCACCAACTAAGATCCAATACTATACCAGCCTCTAGCACTTCACTTGTCCACCTACAAAGACATCTAACAATATAATCAACAACATGTTTTCACGCACACGTGAAAATAAAAAATCAAAATTGTATCATATTTTTGCTCGACTCTAAGATGTCTGCTTACTACTGCTTACTTACTGTTGCTGATTGTGTGCATGTTATTAAATGAAATGAACTCCTGGTCAAATTACAATAATAGACAGGCCAATGTCCTTCCCGTAGTCTGCATGTCTGCCAATGATTAGAATTGCACCACCATTTTTGTTGTTGGATCTAGCCAACTCAATTTGTGACAATTATCATAGGGCTATATATATGACACAATCTAGTGAAATTATGTAGGATTAAAGTATGAATTCATATTCCATCTATTGCAACAGCTCTATCATTACTTCTTTGTAGAACAGATTTCTTGTCCAACTCTCTGTTTTTTTACATTTTGTCGCACATAATAACAAATCACACATTGAAGCCCAAGCAGTTGCTTCCTTCTCATTCAGTGATTATTTCAGAAATTTTACCCCGGGGGGGGGGGGCACTTCAGATTTTTCGGGGGGGGGAGGGCAGCGCCCGCCCCCCCCGGAGATGTAGCTGAAAGAAACCCCGCCTCATTACGTACAGATTAATAAATTGTACTCTTTTTGTACAAGGTCACATGCAACGAACACTTTTGTACAAGGTCACATGCAACGTACACTTTTTGTACAAGGTCACATGCAATGTACATTTTTTGTACAATGTCACATGCAATGTACACTATTTGTACACGGTCACATGCAACGTACATTTTTTTGTACATGGTCACATGCAATGTACAATTTTTTTACATGGTCACATGCAATGTAAAATTTTTTTACATGGTCACATGCAATGTAAAATTTTTGTACACGGTCACATGCAACGTACACTTTTTGAAAATGGTCACATGAAATGTAAACTTTGTTCACGATCAAATGCAACGGATGGACGTGTAACCAACCAGCTTGTCTGCCCCCCCCCCCCTCGCCACTTCTTCGCTTTTAGAAGCGGCACAGAGTCTTTCGCTTGGTTTTTTGGATTGACCGGGAACAGCCGGGCGACGAACTGATCATCACAAACCCCTCAATACTCATTGCTCCCCTGAGAAAAGAAATCCCCCCCCCCCCAGGCTAAATGACAAGAGGTCTGACGAATAGGAAAATGTTTACGATAAAAAAAAATAAAACATTTATGTATTTGTAATCAACTTGTAAAAAGAACCAGCGATTTTAAAAGTTAGCAATCAGTTATTCAATTGTAAAGAGCTCCCTATTTGATCCCCACTTTACCGATGAAACATAATGAATCCACGTAATCACATTTCGTTTGACGCTTTAATTTTTAGCGATCTGGTTTGCAATGCAGATCATTGCTGCTTTGACTTCGGCGTATGTTTCCTGTTAAGGAGGCGCCTCTCTATAAACCTGAAAACGAGGAAAATTAGAAGAAACAAACAAGACGTCACGACTGTTAGGAAAGCCATGACGTCCAAGAGAAGAAATTGATACAATGGCATTTCTTGACCAGATGACCTCATGTAGTCTCCCCCGTATTTCATCACGTGATCAAACCAGTAGGCAGCCTTTTTCATCGGAAGTTGGTAGAGTTCTTTGAATAGTTTAGATGCCTTTTGTATGGTGGTTTTATATTTAGCTTCGGAAGCGATTTCTTTGATAAGGTGAACAAGATCTTCTGAAGTGATTTTTCTAATATCTGCTCCAAGTCCAAAACCTTTAGAGCGTATCCGTTCGGTATTGTAATACTGGTCTCCATAGATGGGAAGACAGAGAATAGGTACGGCGTGATACAGGGCTTCGTACTGTCCATTCTTACCACAATGTGATACAAACACTCTGGTCTTGGGATGTCCCAAGAGATCGTTTTGAGGCACCCAGTTTGAGGTCATAATTCTGGTAGGATCAGGCGATGTCATGTTGGCCTTCCAAATCACATTTATATCAAGCTTCTGGAAAGCCTCTGACATCCTCTTGAGTATGTGCCCCGGTATCCCGATCTCATTGCCCCCAAAAGTGACCACGGCGATACCGTTAACAGATGCCTCCACGAACTGCTTGAAGTCGCCGGTCAGTGGTTTAGAAATCGTCGCCGACGATCCGCCCACGTGTTTAACGTTGGGCATCGACGGTCGCGGATAATCGAGTATGTGATCGACCTCGAATACGTAAACTTCTGCCCTGAGCACGAGCTCGCGTAGAGTCAAATGAGGTTTCTCTGGGGCGAATCTAGTCACCAACTCATCGGAGATGAAAGGATTGTAGACCGTGAACATGAGGTACATCAGTGTGGAATGTACTCTCTGCAGGAATGTCATCCTGTTTGTGTACCCCATGAAGACCATCGGTTCCGCGCCCGGGCTGAATGGGGTCCTGGTCAGCAGCATGTCGTTCATCGTCCCGATCAACGCGTACGGAATACCCAGCTTGTACGGCAGCACGATCATGTTGGTGCTCATGGGGCCCTCCTCCAGCACGAAGAGATCTGGTTTGAGGTTTCTGAGTTGGCTGACGAGCCCCTCGTCCAAGAGCATCTCCTGGGTAATCTGATTCACTAGCTTAGTCATCGGGCTGGAGTCGAGCAGCCCGCGGGTCCTCCCTTCCCAGAAATCGTCTAGGACGGGGACGGCGCTCTGGAACCGGGCCTCGATGTTCCCGATTGCGCGACCGTACACAAGAACTTTTACCGAAGGGTTTTTGACCAGTCCCTGCTGGGCCAGGTAGTCTGTGACGCAGATCCACACGTCGTGGCCGAGTTCGATCAGCGCCTCGGCAATGTTGGCGTGGTATAGGATGTAGCTGCGGCCAGCCGGCGGAAACATGACGACGGTCTTGGCACCGGAGCCTGGTAGTCGCCCCAGTAGCAGAACTGATACCGCGCTGAGTAAGGCTAAGGTGCCGCGCGGAGTGGACATGTTTGAATGACTTTTCTTTGGAAAAAAACTTCTCTGAAACAGAGCACACAATACGTAAATCAAGTCTTAATAATGATTCCTGGCGTGTAAGCCGTCTTACAATGTGTTATCCCAATTGGTCACTACAATAAACATAGAATAATCTAAATCGGGTCTTTGCTTAAATGATGGTTAAAATGTCATTTTTAGTGACTAATTTCTAACCTTGACGTTAAAAATGCACAACTTAACTTGTCACTTTCGGGAAACTTAGTCAATTAATTGTCCACTTTTAGGTGAAATATTAAAATAAACAATTCATTTAATACATAAGTGTGTTTAATCTTTTTATTCGAAACAATTTATATTAATTTTTTAAACAAAATAGTGAGGCAAAAAAAAGGAAACTCAGCGAACTCGATGGAGGAATAGTGCTATTTATGGGGCATTAATTCACGCCTGAACTCAGGTCCTATAGCTCAAAATAACTTAGTTTCAAATTCACACTTACATAGGTATGACAACCTCACAGAGAAATTAATCAAATTCGATATTTTCAATCTACCCAGACCTACAAATATATAATGTTGGACATACACTGTTCAAGCTACCAAGACCTACAAATACACAACGTTGAGCATTAGCTGTACGTTCCTTACCTTATCTTAGACCGCTTATTTGTTTTCTAGCTGCCGTGCGCTATCAGTCAAAATTTCTAGTCTAAAAAAAACTTCAACTCTTAAATAGTACTTTACTATTGGTATGCCCTTGATAATGAATGGGTGGAATAAGTAAAGGGTTCTAAAATTTCTCAGTAGAGCAGGGATCGGCAAAGAAGATCTCGTGGGGCTCTAGGAACCGGTAAGACGATGTCTTGGGGCTCTGGAGACCTGTAAGAAGATCTCGTGGGCCTCTGGGACCTGTAAGAAGATCTCGTGGGGCATCTCGAATGGTCGAAGTATCTCACACATTTTTGAAGCGCATATTGAATACATAAGACACACTTTATTCCTTGTCTCATTGCAAAATGATTAATAATTATACTCTTTTTTCCATTTCAATTGAGAACATATTTAGTGTAAAAGAAAATTTTTCCATGTTGAATTCCCACATGAAGTAAGAAATGTGTAGTCAGCTGACATTCTTTTAATTGAGATTCAAAATTAAATAATTTTGAATATTAACAAAAAACTGAATAGCACATTCGTCTCTTTGAAATCAGTGAGAAGTTTGAAGCTGGTGCTTTTCTTACAAAATCGCCTGTTTGGTAAAGGTACCTTGGGAGGTTAACGTTTTTGGTTTGGAGTGTATAGGGAAAAGTCCTAATCGGCCTCTTGAGCATGGTTTAGACCCAACGTAAGAAGGGTCAGCTCGAAGGCGACTGTGAACCAGAAGGTCACCTTGATTTTTGTCCCGTCTGAAGACAGTCTGAAGACAATAAGTGGAGGGGATGAGAATACCCTGTTAGTTTCGGGGTCAGCAAAAAAAAAGGGTAAAAAATCAGTTTTGCCACACGCGGTTATTAAGTTAAAGAAATTTTAACGCTTTTGATTTGCAACTTTAAATTTTGCTAATTTAATTAATCTACTTTTTATTTATTTGAATACAATCGAAAATTTTAATTCGATATTGTTTGAAGTCATAGAGATACAATTAATTTAAATTCAATTTCGCTATAGTAACAACGTCGTGCGCTTTATCACGTATGCACCAAAATGCACACGAAAGAAAACATGTCTACTCTTCGAGTTTCAGAAACGAGGTCCACCACATTGTGAAATCCTCTTAATACCCAAAACTGTGGAAATAGTTGATAAAAGAGTTTTTTCTGCAATATCAGATACGGGAAACAGATCCTAAGGTCTATGACATTGTAAAGATTAACATGGTCCATGCTGGCAAAAGAACGTCATTTGGGTAGGGCATGGTGGGGCATTCCCCACCCCCCTGAATTTGCAGATTTTATTTAAATTGCTATGTACTGTCGCGCCTCTAATTACAAACAACTTAGCAAGCCGACCAAGTTTTGGTTTTTGCGCCCCCCCCCCCCCTTTCTTCGCAAAAACCTGAGACGCCCGTGATTCCTTGCGGTGTTCAGCCTAACACTGGATCATTGTAAGTGCTTCTCTAAACCTTGTAGTATTTACATAAATAAGAGTGCAGTTTAGAGAGTGCCCGCCCTTGGGCACCCAAGAAAGACAATTGACCACAAATGGAGTCCAATTCCTAAAAAGGGCTGTCAAGGATGTTACAAACACCTACAGGGTACTCGTTAATTAATGATAGTGCTGGGAAAAGTTGTGAACAATCAAACTATACTGTAATGTATGCTGCAACTTCAAGTTTTTTTCATTTAAATTGGTGTAGTTAATTAATGTAAATTGTATTACTAAGACACTAGTTATAGACAGCTAAACAACGAGGGAGGCAATGAATGAATTTCCCATCAACTATAGTTACTTGACAAAACAAGCATTCAAGTAACGCCCTTGATAAGAATCCCAATTAGTGCCGCCCCACCCCTTTTGTATTTGATCGCACTCCCAGTGCCAGATCAAGACCTTGGGGGCCCCCTAAGCAGTCAAATGTTGTTGCCCCAACTTGTCTATATTTATGCTGTTCAGGGCGGGTTACAAGGTGATAACCGACCCGGTCGTCACTTAGGCACCTTACATTATATAAATCGATTTGTGTTATTGACTGAACTTTAGGTAAAACATACCGGCCACATTTTAATAGCTACAGCTGTCCCCCAACTTCCACCTAGCCCCACCCCCGCCCTAATTCTATTACTGGTAATTTAAGTAGATGCCAAAGGGGCCCATCATAACTATACATAACGTCAAAGCAGCTAGGTTAAAGGTCAAATAAGTGCTCAAACCCTCCTCTCCCCTCAAAAAAAAATAAATAAAATAATTTGATCCTGTGGCTCAGGGTCCAGATGTACCCAACCGTCCGTTTAAATTTGAACTAAAAGAACTTAAGAACTTAAAGACGTTCGTACAAAAAGTAGACATTGTAGACATTTTTTAAAAGTGAACTAAAATGTGAAATGTTAGTTTTTGTGATGCCTTCTTGCTAGCTTTATACTCGATTACTCACAATTAAGAGAACAACCGGTGAGATGGACATTGAATAAGATAAATAGACTCATGTCTGAGATTCATTTTCATAGACAAATAGTTATTAGCATTTGATATTTGATATTATTGAGTCATAGTCATTAAATCGTAAGGCTAGTTGAATTTTCTAACCCTTCATACGCTTAACCAAATAATTTTAAAATCAAAATGTGTGCGGGGCCCTTACAATGCACGTGCCTCATTTCGCCATATGATAATCCGTTGCTGTTCACCTTTTTCAAATTTTAAATACTATATTAATATTCCAATGTCCCATACCCTTATACACCACACATTTATTTCAACATAATTAAACTTAGACATTTCCGTAAAACACAAGTAAATATTACGCACCAAACGCACTTGTATTTTTAAGAATTTCATTTTGCGTAGCTATGGGGAATTTTATTTTGGGCGCTATTGAACTCACCATTACACCACAACCCACCTATTGAATTATATTGATGGAGTTTAAGTTATTGCTTTATTATTATTTTTGTTTAAAAAAGGTTTTCTTTGGAATCTCTAGCATATACTATAACATGAACACAAGGCAACGAGTGCAAGACCTACAATTGCTAGATATACGTATAAGACCTCACCATATTAATATAAGCGCACGAAGATTGAACGTGAAGAAAATGTTCTTTAAAAAATAATCCTGTTTTTCTGCATTAAAATCACAATAAAGGACATTATCGACGGAATGAAATAGGGTAGAGAGAAGAGAGAGGTGTGTCACGACGGGAGCAGTCCGACTTATCCGCTGTGGTCACCGTATGCCGCACTTAGTCACCATTGTTGGAATAAGTGATTTCATTGATTTCCTAAGTCTTAAAATCACAATTTTTAGGAGAAATATTAGCGCTTTTTATGACTTGAACATTTTTTTTTAATGAATTGCCCGGGTAGTTAGCCTCGGAGGGGGGGGGGTGGGGGTTACAGGGGCAAACGTTGGCGGCGTTATTTTTAAACCATCGAGTTGACAACATTCAGCAGTTTCCAGTTTATTACTAACATTCATAAGATGTTCTTCTAGTACCTGCACGCCATGGCACTAGTTTAACACATAGAGATCTATTGATATAAGCTGTAGTTAGCCTCGGAGGGGGGGGGGTGGGGGTTACAGGGGCAAACGTTGGCGGCGTTATTTTTAAACCATTGAGTTGACAACATTCAGCAGTTTCCAGTTTATTACTAACATTCATAAGATGTTCTTCTAGTACCTGCACGCCATGGCACTAGTTTAACACATAGAGATCTATTGATATAAGCAATTGATGTTTTAACTTGTCGACCCCACCCCACCCCCCCCCCCATCTCTCCGAGTTAATGTTCAATCTCTCCCGGTTGATGTTCAATTTCTCCCAGTTGATGTTCAATTTCTCCCAGATAATGTTCAATCTCTCCCAGTTAATTGTAAATCTCTCCAAGATAATGTCCAATCTCTCCCAGATAATGTTCAATCTCTCCCAGAATAATGTTCAATCTCTCCCAGATAATGTTCAATCTCTCCCAGAATAATGTTCAATCCCTCCAAGATAATATCCAATCTCTCCCAGATAATGTTCAATCTTTCCCAGAATAATGTTCAATTTCTCCCAGATAATGTTCAATCTCTCCCAGAATAATGTTCAATCTCTCCCAGATAATGTTCAATCTCTCCCAGATAATGTTCAATCTCTCCCAGAATAATGTTCAATCTCTCCCTGATAATGTTCAATCTCTCCCAGAATAATGTTCAATCTCTCACAGAATAATGTTCAATCCCTCCCAGAATAATGTTCAATCTCTCCCAGGTAATGTTCAATCTCTCCCAAAATAATGTTCAATCTCTCCCAGATAATGTTCAATCTCTCCCAGATAATGTTCAATCTCTCCCAGAATAATGTTCAATCTCTCCCAGGGGTAATAAGGGGAGAGACTGCAATCAGGTTAGTACAAAATAAAATGAGTAAAACAGAGTATGGTTAAACCTGAAAAATTAAACGTAACAAAACAGCGAACGTGTCGGCAGAAAGCCTTCGTCAGCGAACAAAACAACAGAAAAAACGTTATAAAAATAAGAAATAGCACTTAGCTGGTAAGTAGTATCTGTGGGCAGCAATAGAAGTGTGGCAGAAGGAAAATGAGTGAGAGTTTAAATAAGCAGCGGCGAAAAAAAGGGGGGAGAAAAAAGTTCACTGTGATAGGTCAGAACGTGGAGGGGCGGAGCTAGGGTCAAGCTGTGAACAGAGACATAACATTAATCCCATCTGGCGTCAAAGTGCCGTAAGTCAGGATAAGTCTGTGTTCCAAATTGACCCGGCTGGCGGTGTTAGTGCTAGCCACAATCGCACTTATTGAAAAGTCCGCCTTGCCCCGGTGGTCGCTACTATTGAAGTGTTTGGAGACGGGACACTGTTTATCTTGTGTAATGTTTCGGAGGTGTTCGGTACACCTGTCCGAGAGACGGCGTCCAGTCTCCCCTATGTATGTCATCTGACAGCGGGTGCAGACAATGGCGTAGATAACGTTGCGGCTTGTACAGAGGAAACCGTCGCGTATCTGAAAACTGCCCTTGGGGAAACGTATGCGTTCAGTCTG